AGCTTACCGAAGGGGGAGGGCTTCCAAAATAGCAATTGTAGAAATGGAATTCTGAAAACTTTATTCAGTGATTCAGGTTTTGTTTGACTTTTCTATTAGAAAACCATAAAAAATAAAACGTTTTCGTGAAAATATAAGAAAAGCGTTTTTGTCGATTCTAATAGGCCCCGATTGTGCTCCAAAGCTGAAATCAGTCAAGGCCATGACTTCGACAAGTATCCGTGTGACATGGGACCCACTGCCAAATACCACTTGCAGGAATGGAATTCTGAGAGGCTACAAAGTCTTATACAGGAGATATGGCTTCCGTAATACAACAATCGCCAATATTGGTCCTGATGTCCATTCAATGGTGATAAGAGATCTTCATAAGTATACAACGTACATAATCAACGTTGTTGCATATACTATCAAAGACAGTAAACCAAGTAACGCGATAAACAGAAGGACACTTCAAGATGGTAAGTTGTCCCAAACTTCAAAATCATTTCTGATGGGGAGGGGACAGTAGGAAAATTTGACATGATTGTTCAGTAAATAGAAATACCACGTTTAATTAATGAAGCTAAAAGTACTAATGTATGCGATTTTAGCTCCCTCTGTACCCCTTAACGACAAAGCGAAGCTTATCAGATCCAATGACACGTTTCGTATACCACGTGTACAACTGACGTGGGATAAACCATCACATGATAATGGCATCATCACAAGATACACACTTGTATATCGCTATGATAACGGTACATCCAATCATGTGAATATTACCGGTATATCGTCGTTGGTATATACGCTGGATGTACTTGGTCAAGCATGGTTTTGGTTTAAGATGAGTGCGACTACGATCAAAGAAGGACCTTATACTGCTATCAATAGCCTTTGGATCCCTGCCTACGGTACGTAAGAACATGAGTTAGGACGATTCGCCAATTTTGACAGGATCTTTTTATCATTATATCGTAGTACCGTGTTTACAACATTCAGAAATTAAAAGTGATAATTACTGGTCAATTATCAGTTTATGGTAATATATTCTCATTTTAGCTCCGCATGTAGCGCCGCAAGGTATAAAAGCGACAAAGAAAAACGAAACGACCTTCATAATTAACTGGAAACCGTTGCGTAGGAACGAGGCCAATGGCATCATAACAAAGTACAAAATTTCTTGGATTTTAAGACACATAGGAAGAGCTAAAAGAACGGCAGTTCGAGAATCCTTCACTGGAACAGCACAGGGAAACCAATTTGTTTTACACAATCTAAGACGTTGTGCGCAGTATGAAGTTCGTGTAGCAGCTGCAACAGTTGCAGGATTGGGTCCAAATGCTACTCACAATATTACAACATCAAGTAAGTACTATACATGCATCAGTACTTTTGGATAACAAAGCTTCCGCCATCTTGAAAAGTGGAACTTGAATCCACTAAATTATAACTCCTATAGGAATTAAAAAGTTCTCAGCTAATGTCAAGTTAATATGAGACGATATAAAGATAGATGAGTTGACTTAGCATCTACTAAATGTGTTCTATGGCTCATCAAATTGATTCAGTTCTCACCTTTTAAAATGGCGGACACATTTTTCTATGAAAGTACTCTGATGCATGTATTGAAATATCGACATTTTATTGGGATAAAATAGATTTTCAGTACTACACAATATCAACTTGCATAATGTGTTTCAAAAATTGAGTTTTAACTTTACACGGTTTATGTGCTATATTTCTTTTAGAACCAGGTGCACCTCACAATTTGGAGTCACGTGGAATAGGTAAAGCATTTATTACCTTGTCATGGAGGAAGCCAAAAGCCATGATAAAACGTGTTAAAAGCTACAAGGTATGAGTCACACCAATATTTGCAAAACATAACGAAATTAAATCNCGCTACACCCTGGCGATGCACTATTCCAGTACACAACTATACATTTCAACGAATAGACTATTGTCCTGTTAGAATGCGCAACGTGTGGAATTGGCGAATCCAAAAAAACCCTACTTTATTCAGTGATTACTATTGTTCAGGTTTGACTTTTCTATTAGAAAACCGTAAAATAAAACGTTTTTGTGAAAATAAAAGAAAAACGTTTTTTGTCGATTCTAGGCCCCGATTGTGATCCAAAGCTGAAATCAGTCAAGGCCATGTCTTCGACAAGTATCCAAGTGAGATGGGACCCACTGCCAAATACCACTTGCAGGAATGGAATTCTGAAAGGCTACAAAGTCTTATACAGGAGATATGGCTTCCGTAATACAACAATCGCCAATATTGGTCCTGATGTCCATTCAATGGTGATAAGAGATCTTCATAAGTATACAACGTACATAATCAACGTTGTTGCATATACTATCAAAGACAGTAAACCAAGTGACGCGATAAATAGAAGGACACTTCAAGGTGGTAAGTTGTCCCAAACTTCAAAATCTTTTCTGATGGGGAGGGGACAGTAGGAAAATTTGACATGATTGTTCAGTAAATAGAAATATCACGTTTAAAGAAGCTAAAAGTACTAATGTATGCGATTTTAGCTCCCTCTGTACCCCTTAACGACAAAGCGAAGCTTATCCAACACAATGACACGTTTCGTATACCACGTGTGCAAGTCACGTGGGATAAACCATCACATGATAATGGCATCATCACAAGATACACACTTGTGTATCGCTATGATAACGATACATTCAATCATGTGAATATAACTGATATATCGTCGTTGGTATATACACTGGATGTACTTGGTCAAGCATGGTTTTGGTTTAAGATGAGCGCGAGTACGATCAAAGAAGGACCTTATACTAATATCAATAGCCTTTGGATCCCTGCCTACGGTACGTAAGAACATGAGTTAGGACGATTCGAAAATTTTGACAGGATCTTTTTTAACATTATATCGTAGTGTTTACAACATTCGGAAATTAAAAGTGATAATTACTGGTCAATTATCAGTTTAATATATTCTCATTTTAGCTCCACATGTAGCGCCACAAGGTTTAAAAGCGACAAAGAAAAACGAAACGACCTTCATAATAGCCTGGAAACCGTTACGTAGGACCGAGGCCAATGGCATCATAACAAAGTACAAAATTTCTTGGATTTTAAGACACATAGGAAGAGCTAAAAGAACGGCAGTTCGAGAATCCTTCACTGGAACAGCACAGGGAAACCAATTTGTTTTACACAATCTAAGACGTTGTGCGCAGTATGAAGTTCGTGTAGCAGCTGCAACGGTTGCAGGATTGGGCCCAAATGCTACTCACAATATTTTAACATCAAGTAAGTACTATACATGCATCAGTACTTTTGGAGAACAAAGCTTCCGCCATCTTGAAAAGTGGAACTCGAATCACTAAATTATAACTCCTAAAGGAATTAAAAGGTTCCCAGCTAATGTCAAGTTAATATAATACGATATAAAGATAGATGAGTTGACTTAGCACCTACTAAATGTGTTCTATGGCTCATCAAATTGATTCGATTATCACTTTTCAAAATGGCGGACACATTTTTCTATGAAAGTACTGATGCATTTATTAAAATATCGACATTTTATNGGGATAGATTTTCAGTATTACACAATATCAACTTGCATAATGTGTTTAAAAAATTGAGTTTTATCTTTACACGGGTTATGTGCTATATTTCTTTTAGAACCAGGTGCACCTCACAATTTGGAGTCACGTGGAATAGGTAAAGCATTTATTACCTTGTCATGGAGGAAGCCAAAAGCCATGATAACACGTGTTAAAAGCTACAAGGTATGAGTCAATATTTGCAAAACATAACGAAATTAAGTCGTTGGACACTAACGAAAAAAATCAATTTAAAAAGGTTACATTATCCTTTATTGAAAAATTATGAACGATGTACACGCTTATCTGCAAAATAAGAGTTAACATTTTCAACTGGCTTTGATTTTTTTTGATGTATTTTTGATTTTAAATAACGGGTGGCACGGGTGGTCTAGTGGTTAAGCTACTGGCCTCTCACCGCTGTGGTCCGGGTTCGATTCCCTGACACGGACCATATGTGAGTTTGAATTTGTTTGATGTGTTGTTCTCTCCCTTGCCACGAGGGTTTTTCTCCGGGTCCTCCGGTTTTCTTCCCTCAGCAAAAATCAACATGTGAGGAGTGTTTTGTGCTAAATACTTAATGTAGAGGTAGTGAGTGTGAGAGTACAGGGTACGAAGTAATTGGCTCACGCTGTTGCGGTGTCCCTGCCCATACTAGGGAAAAGCTAATAAATTAAATTAAAAATTAAATTAAATTAAAATACGATGGTTATCAATTGTATTACGACTTATTTTTTTCAGCATTCTTATTTTCGAAATATTTGTGAAGCTGTTTTTACTAGTACTTGCTACAATGATATGACAGCACAAATTAACAATTTTAAAGACCCTTCACATAAGAACCAATTCAGGAAAAATTTAGGTCATAATTACTGATGGAGCAGTAAAAGTGTAGCATAAATTGAAAAACTTATGTTCTTATTGTTGTATTATGATGTTGCTTTTTGCAGCTGTTTTGATTATTATTACAGTTCATTGCATTTCCTAAAAATTGTTCGTGTCTTTTCAAGATTTATTTCAACGGTTCAAAGTCATACTGGCCTGTCTACAGTTCCCCACTTAAAACTAAAACCCAAGATGGTAGCCAAACAACACTTAAGATTGGTGACTTGCAGCCAGGGACATACTATGAATTCTGGGTAATAGCGTCAACAGTTTGTGGTGAAAGCAACAGGAGTTTAACAGTAACATTGGAAACAAAAGTGGACAGTATGTACNTATGACAGCACAAATTAACAATTTTAAAGACCCTTCACATAAGAACCAATTCAGGAAAAATTTAGGTCATAATTACTGATGGAGCAGTAAAAGTGTAGCATAAATTGAAAAACTTATGTTCTTATTGTTGTATTATGATGTTGCTTTTTGCAGCTGTTTTGATTATTATTACAGTTCATTGCATTTCCTAAAAATTGTTCGTGTCTTTTCAAGATTTATTTCAACGGTTCAAAGTCATACTGGCCTGTCTACAGTTCCCCACTTAAAACTAAAACCCAAGATGGTAGCCAAACAACACTTAAGATTGGTGACTTGCAGCCAGGGACATACTATGAATTCTGGGTAATAGCGTCAACAGTTTGTGGTGAAAGCAACAGGAGTTTAACAGTAACATTGGAAACAAAAGTGGACAGTATGTACAAGGTCATATTTGTATTTTATATTATCCTAACTACATACTTCGGTATTAATTAATTACGTTGCTTCATTTTCAATCGGCAGAACCTCGTACACCACAACTTAGAACTCCTATAAAACTTAAAGATAGTTTTAATGTCACATTATGGACATTCAAGCCTCACAATGGACCAATTAGGTACACAATTTCTTAATCATTAATAAGTAGGCATTCTGCATGGATCCAGCCTTTTATCCCTTTTTAGGTCATAATAATAACGTTTTCAGTTTTTTCGCTTTTATAAAGCCTCATTTGCAGACTTTTCATGGATTTTTTAAAACATTCGACTGTTATTGTCTGCAAAGGAGGTAACATCCTTCAAGATTATTTGGAGAATCGCAAATTATATCTTCCATGCTGTTGATTTTGGTTTTCCAGCTCGTACCAGGTGATTGCAATCAGCGGCAGAAATAAATCCATGAACGAAATACCAGAAAAACTTAGAGACTATAAAAAGGCCAGTGATAATGACGAATCAATGTACGTCACAGCCGAGCTTACACCAGTCCAGATAAAAACCACAACAATGTTTGTCATTGGTGACAATAGAATGTACGGAATATACAAAAACGTCGCATTGGATAAAGGTCAAGTTTACACCATAGCTGAGAGAGCAATCACAAGATATAAACGAGTAAGCAGATGACACTTTGATTTCATTAGGCTATCATTCTTTAGCATCTTGCCCAGGTTTTTTTACTGTAAAMGGATCAAGATGACTATTTGGGGAATGTTGCGTGGCATTTTGATTGAAAGAAGGTTGTTTCTGAACACGGGAATCGTACATGGGGCACAATATAATATGGCAACTTATCCTTTACTCTTTTATTTAKCCCTCAATTTATGATTATTTCATTTATGTAACTTTTTCATGATTTACTTTACACTTTCCTTGGTCGTCATTCAGAGCGTCTACGTGAGCGACCCAGTCCATATCGCAACAATCGAACTTAGTGCAGGTAATTTTCTTTAACTAGAAAAATATAACGTGGTTTGTAGTATGGAAACCTTACTCAAAACATGAAGATAAAAGAAATGATTGTTAAGATGATAATTGATATATCGTTTGTTTTGTTCTGCTTTCTGTGGCTGATGTTGTTGTTTGGGCAGTGGTGAGATATTTTTGTTGTTCTTGCTGCTGATGCCGCCGTTTATTTTGATGTTGTTTGCTCCCAAAGTATTGTATCCCAAAGTATTTTGTTGTTTTTTGGATTGAATTTTTTTTTCTTAGAATTTATGAAGAAGCCGCAAGAATCTAAGAGTACCTCTAATATTGATGTGGCCATAGGAGTCGTAGTATCCCTACTTGTAATTGTGGTTATACTAGCTCTTTTGGGCTTCAAATACAAAAGGTAAAAAAGGATTGGTTATATCAGAAAAAAAATATTAGTTGTGGAGACAGATTCTTGAATTTTCCTAGTATCCCTACTTGTAATTGTGGTTATACTAGCTCTTTTGGGCTTCAAATACAAAAGGTAAAAAAGGATTGGTTATATCAGAAAAAAA